GAAAGCCGATCGCTACTTACGGTAAAAGGTACGTCTACCTTAACGTGGGTGTACGCAAACCCATACACTGGATTTTCGTGGTTGCAGATGTCTCTATGCCAATCATTGGTATAGATCTGTTACAACACCACAATCTACTCGTTGACACACGCTCACGAAAGTTAATAGACGGAAACACTAAGTTATCTGTTAGCGTAACTCCTTGCTCTGGTTGCAGGTTATCCCCAGTCACGATTAAGCACACCATAGACCCCTTGTACCAGTCAGCACCAATCGCAATCGAAATTGTCTTGTGTAACCAGCAATGTTACACATCTTGAGATGGTGGAGAAGATTTGTAGCTCAGGTGGGTGATTTTTATGTTGGTTTGTTCTCTGAGCTGGATGGTTTGGTCGTGGAGCTTTGAACTTCTACCCGAAGTTTGTGCTGATGATGTCGTTCAGAAGGACGATGAAAGCTCCACGACCAAACCATCCAGCTCAGAGAACAAACCAACATAAAAATGTTACACATCACATCTCGACTACAGGACCACCTGTATTCTCGAAAGCCCGTCGAATCTCTCCCGAAAAACTTAGGTTAGCTAAAAACGAATCCGACCATATGATGGACTTAGGGATTATTCGACCATCGAATAGTCCATGGTCATCCCCATTGCACATGGTCCCTAAAAAGGACAGCAATGATTGGCGGCCAACTGGTGATTATCGGCGTCTGAATGCTAAAACCATTCCCGATCGTTACCCGCTGCCTCATATTCACGATTTGACAGCTACCTTGAAAGGTACAACTGTCTTTTCGAAAATCGACTTGGTTAAAGCTTATAACCAAATACCGATGGCACCTGACGACATTCCTAAAACCGCCATCATCACTCCCTTCGGTTTTTACGAACTTCTACGAATGCCTTTTGGTTTAAGAAACGCAGCTCAAACTTTCCAAAGGTTTATAGACGACGTCTTCTGAGGTCTCAATTTCGTACATGCGTATGTTGATGACTGTCTAATAGTAAGTTCGGACGGAGAATCGCATCTCAAGCATCTGGACATTGTTTTCGATCGACTCCAAATGCATGGCATTACTGTCAACATACAGAAATGCCAAATCGGAACAAACTCCTTAAACTTCCTAGGACACACCATTGATGCCCAAGGCATCCGACCCCTTAGGAGCAAAGTGGCGGCCATTCTGGATTACCCAGAACCGACCACGATCAAGCACTTACGAACTTTTAACGGAATCGTAAGTTTCTATAGACGGTTCATACCCAAATGCGCATCCCTTATGAAACCGTTGACTGATCAGCTTCGTGGAAATGCGAAATCAATTAGTTTAGACGACATAGCCCGTAAAGCATTTTCCACAGTTAAGGAACACATCACCAAAGCAACCTTGCTTGCTCATCAGGACACTCAAGCGCCCATTAGTATCGCCGTAGACGCATCCGACTCAGCAATCGGAGGAGTCTTACAACATTGGGTTAACAACTCGTGGCAACCTTTAGGACTTTTCTCGAGACGGTTGCTAGACGCGGAATATAGGTACAGCACGTTCGGTAGGGAACTCCTAGCTATGTATTGTGCTGTACAGCATTTCCAACATTCCATAGAAGGAAGAGAATTCATGCTTTTTACCGATCACAAACCTCTTACCTTCTCCTTAAGTTCATCTTCAGACAAGTACTCACCGCGAGAGTTTCCACAACTCGACTACATTTCGCAGTTTACTTCAGACATACAACATATTTCTGGAGCTGACAATGTAGCGGCAGACGCCTTGTCTCGAATAAGTTCCTTGAACAGTTTCCAAGGAATCGACTTTCTTAAACTCGCTCAGCTTCAAAAAGAAGACATTGATCTTCAGCATGAGTTATCCTCGACAACTCTAAAACTAAGTATTAAGCAGATGGGAACAGGTAAGGAAACCTTACTCTGTGACACATCTACAGGTAGGGATCGTCCAATTGTACCAAAACATTATCGCCGCAACGTCTTCAATACGTTGCACAATCTTTCTCATCCAGGTGCTCGTGCAACTGTCAGACTTATAGCCGAACGCTTTTGTTGGCCTGGCATGAATAAAGACGTGAGGGAGTGGGCACGCTCCTGTGTAAGCTGTCAGAAATCTAAGGTAATCAGACACAACAAATGTCCCTTAGGTTCTTTCAAAACCCCTGACGCTCGTTTCGACCACGTCCATCTAGATTTGGTAGGACCCTTACCCGACTCGAACGGATACTCATATCTCTTAACAAACGTAGACCGTTTTACTCGATGGCCAGAAGCAGTACCAATTAAGGACATTACTGCTGAAACAGTGACTCGCGCCTTCGTCGAACGATGGGTATCAAATTTCGGCTGCCCTTCAACCATCACTACAGACCGCGGACGCCAATTCGAATCTGAACTTTTCCGTTGTCTCACCTCACTATTAGGAATCACGCGCTTCCGAACGACCTCCTACCACCCACAAGCAAACGGGTTGGTAGAACGTTTTCATCGACAATTAAAAGCTTCATTATCAGCTTCAAACGTTTCACAGTGGACAGACGCTCTTCCACTCGTCTTGCTAGGTATCCGCAATGCAGTGAAAGCTGACATTGGATACACGGCATCTCAACTCGTTTACGGAACGACACTCCGACTCCCATGAGAATTCGTGGATCTTTCAGCTCCTTCATTGAACATGGATCTAAACTCTTACACGAGCAGGCTTACAAACGCTATGCGTTCAGTTAAACCTGCTCACACTCGACCTCAATCAATTGATGTTTTCGTTCAACCCGAATTACGACATAGTACACACGTCTTCGTTCGTCCAGACTCACATCGACGACCCCTTGAATCAGCATACGAAGAACCCTTCAAAGTTCTTCAACGCGAACCTAAGTACTATGTAGTAGATAAGAACGGTACGAACGATAGCATCAGTATCGAACGACTCAAAGCAGCGTACTTAGAAGGAAACCCTAGCTACGTCAATTTTCCTTCGGTACAAGCAAACGACACAGCCACTACACTCGTAGTACCCTACACGACAACCGACATACAACTTGATACTTCGTCAACATCGATAGATAAACCTAAAACAACGCGTTCTGGAAGACCAGTAAGATTTCCAGAACATCTTAACGAATATTGCACGTAGGACATAAGCTTTATCTTGGATTACCTTTTCATAGTTTATTATAAAAAAAATTTTTTACATGCTCATTTTTTTATTTATATAAAAAAAACATTTTTATCTTTTTTTAAGCGTATATATATATTTTTTATATATGAAAAAACAAAAAAAAAACATTTTTTTCCCGATCGCTTTTACGCTGTTTGTAAGTGTATTAGTTTTTTTTCCCGCTCATCTTGTGTCCTTACGCAAGTACGAGTGTATTTTTTACATGCATTCACACGTTCTATTTTTCCTCCTTTCCAGGACGGCTGGAAAAGAACGACGAAGTTTCGCAAGGAACCGAATTTTTCATTGTACTATATTTCTTTATTGCTATGTTGTACATTTTGGTCCCATAGTTTAAGGAAAGACGACCAGACGCTGCTAAACGAAGAAAGCTATCAAAAGAGTGTTTACCAACGACAAACTCGTTGGGTTTAAACTTCTGGCTGGTCACTTCTTAGGGGCATCACTACCTTACTAGGGGGGGGAGTGATCTGTAACTGTAAATAATTCCCCAAAATCAATAGCTCATTAAGTGTTCGACATTGGATGCTGACCATGTTGTTTAAGTGGACTTGTTTAGCTGAAGGCTTTCGGTCATGCATCCGTACCAGATCACGTTTCAACACGGCGTGGGACACAGCTCCTACGTTTCATTAGCCAGCTTATAAAAAAAATCCTCGATATATTGGTAACGAATCAAATATATCTTTCCTGCCTCTTCTCGTCTGACTTCTGATTTCTATCTGACTGGGAACGATCGAATATAGAAGGTGCTACTGATAGCTATTTGTAAAACTAGAATATCCGTTAGCATCATCAACTTCAAAGTTTGGAAGATTGCGATGAAGTCTTTCAATACTTCAAAGTGTAGATTAGTCAATTTAAAACATGTTGCACACTACATGCACGACGTAGGTGACTTTCCTCTAGAGATATCCGAAGTTGAAGATCTAAGGGTCTTGGTACCCTATAATCTAAAGTCTTAAGCTAACGGTGACAAAAAAAATATTTTCCGTGCAAATCTCTCGCTATTGATGTCAGAGAACGCATTTGGCCAGTTTGATGATAGAACTCTTCAACTACTGTTTAAGTTTTATTCGACTCTGTTTAGAATGTGTAAACATGGTGTTTTCTCCCTCACTCCATAGAAATAAAAAAAACTAGAATGTACGCAAAGGCTAGCCATTTAATCAGTCCGAGGGCGAAAATTGTAACCTTGTAAAGGGTACACCAAATAATTGGTGCATGGGCGACTAAGAGGTGTCCTAATGAGTTATGGCATGCTAACGCACTCCTGGGTACTTCATTGAATACTTACGTAAGCCCAGTACCAGCACAAAACCTAAAGGAACACCCTACATGATCCTGGACTCTCTTTGCAAGTAATCAAATTCTAGACTCCGCTTTCCTTTGGGATATTTTTACAAATGTCATTCAAGGAGAAAATTGATTTATTTGGCGTCACATCAACGGGCCACAATAAATAATATTAGGGATTAGGGACAGTACTTCATAATTTACTAATATTTCCCGCTAAATACATTTACGTTTCTATTTGGAGGTATTATTGACACACTGCTACTAGATATGTAACTCCGTTAAACGAAAGCTTCCATTTCGTATACTATCATTTAAAAGTATTTGAATTCACTATGACTTTTACAAACTAGTGTTTAGTCAACTTTTAGGGGACGCTTAAGGGGTTCGAGAAAGTACTATGGCACTAAAAATCACCCGGTTTATGATAACTCATCACAAAGGTATTTATCTTAGTTACTGAGGTCTTGAAATATTTACAGCCACAGAACCGCGGTTTGTATTTAGAGGTCATGTTGCGAATTGTAATGCGCTGTATGTCTTCTGATGCAACATATAAAGGGGCATACAAAGTATGTGAGTAATTAACTGAAAATTATTAAATTTTATAGGTTAGTGGTGCTTTTTGTGACCGCCCTCAAGTTATGAGGTTTGGTATACTACGATCTCTTGCTGTGGGAATTCCTTTTATATTTGTCGGGTCAATAATTAGTAGGACAGGTGCTGAACTCCTAGAAGAGTATGATATTTTCACGCCACAGGATGATTAGTCGCTAGTATGCAAAGACTGCATGTGCTGCGATAGTTTCACTTGCTGCATTCTGTTTCGTGGTACTTTATAATACCTTTAACTATAAGTGTTGACCAGTGCTATTACTAATATTTATTCTCTGCGGACTCAGTAAGATGTTGCGATCTTAAAGCTTAAGTTTTAATTAAGAGACCTCTGTATTCTTTGTTATTAGCTGTCGACATTACTGTACGATTTTGTAGCCAGTGCTTGTTGGTGTTGAGAGGTACGACTAATAGTCATTCCCAATGATGCAGATCCACTCACTCTTTGTCTTTTTTACGACCACAGGCCCTAAACACCCTGCTAAGTACCTACTTTTTATACTACTACTATTAGTACTCTTACTAGTTCTGTTCCGGGATGTCTTCGTATTTTCATCTGTGCCAGTTTGGAGTAGCAAGCCGAACTGTCCCACATATGTGCTAGGTTCTACGTTGCAGATGACTAACTGTAATGACTTCAGTGGTGTATGTTATGTAGTTTATTCAAAGTAACGATCCAGTTTATTCGGTCGCTACACTGTCTTGACACATCTTCGTTATCTCATATTTAACACTACAACCACCGAAAACTTGTTGTTACCCAAGATACTTTCCAGTTTGTTGTGGCTAGTTTTCCAGTAATTAGATTTCTAATCGCTTAATTGTGTTTCTTATGTCTTGTATACTTACCTTGGCAGGAATAAATTCATTAATAAAGTATTTGCCGAACAGCTCTTGTTTTCATAATTTATAGTATAATTTTTTGGGTCGAATTCGTTTACTCACAGTTTCAAACTAAGCACCTTTAAACCAGTTGAATTGAGATGCCAAATGGAGTTTCTTATCAACTTACTAGGTTTCGCTTCTTTCAACCTGTTGAAACTTATACAATGCGGCATGTTCAGTTAATATAAGCTTATCGGGTATCGATACCAAGGTTAGACTTGTTAGTCCTAAATAAGTTGAGCATCAGGTAGAGATTTAATAATAGATATATCTTGTTGTATCCAAATGAGTAGAAAAATTGTAACCGTCTTTCAGTATAGCGAATTTAATTACTGACTGCTATCCAATATACGGTTACCGTTACCCTACGGGAAGCTGTTATAACACCAGCTTTAAGAAATCTATGATGACGTGATGCTTGATGTACTTCACAGTTCTGTTTATTGACTCTTCCCACTTATATAACTACATAGTGTATCAGTCTGGGTTTCGGCAGCTTTCGACGCAAAAAATATAAGCTTAGAAATCTCGTTTTTTTAATGTTTTAGTAGTGCAAGTTCCCGCTCGACAGTAGGCCATTAGTGGAAAATCATTTTTCATGAATTGACTGTTTGCAATAATGTTTTCCTGTCCCAATTTAGATTTTAATTTCACGTATCTCAAACTAAGGTGATAAAAACGTGTTTGAATCTTGTCACTTTTTCCTTAACTGTGCTTGTCCATAATATTTGACTGCCGTTTAGGTATATATGAGATTTCGATAAATTTGAAGTTTATAAAGTCATTCTAGTATTTTAAAATACTGTCTTACATCACCACTTTCCGTCTAACCGATTGAATTCTTGTAATACACAAGATGTTTAGTAAAGTAAATATGCGGATTTTGGATATTTGTCATCAATGTGAATTAAAGCTAATTTCGTATGCAGCAGTACTGTTTAGTTTGATTTTTAACAAAACAAAAGCCTAGAACGAGACACTTATGGCACCTGGGCAGTATCGTAGACCACACACAAATCAAGTGACTTGTGTGGCGCATATGTATTCGGTGCTCCTTTGTACCAATATTCATGTATTCAAATAAGTAAATAAACTTATGGCCTCTGATTATGGTTCAGTTTGTTACCACGCTAACTAAAACAGTATTGTCCCTTAGTTGAACTATGGAGTACTCACGGAATCTGGCTGTGAAAATTGTAAATCACTATTTTGTGTAGATTATGTTAGCAAATTATTCCTTGCTTATTTATTTATTTAATCACATATATATTGGTACAAAGGGCACCGGATACATATGCGCCACACAAAATAATGAGAATGGGAGGAGAAGGAAGAAGATGCGTATATATAAAAGACGGAAAATAAGAAAAGAAGAAGATTAATGGTGGTGGGGGGGAACTGCAGTGTACAACCAGAAGAGCTCTCTTAGTTAGGAAAGTTATAGCCACTCTTTATGAAGAAAGTAGAAGGTTACAGCAGGATCGCCACTGGCTTCTATTCTGAGCCATATCTGATAACGTCTCTAGCCACTGTGTTGCACCATCTCTCGGATCCCAGCCAGGGAGTCGTGAAGGACCAACAGAAGCCAGCCCTTTGCAGCTTTCTTTCATACCACGACACCATGTCATACACTGACCTCCTCTCCGCTTTTTCCAACCAGTCCCAGAGTCGACAAATAATGCACAACGAGGAACAAGGATTACATTAGCGTACTAGTAGTTAACAACCAAACTGTTCAGATTGTTCTCACTGAAATTAACTCTATATTGTCAGTTTTTAATGTCGGCTAAATATAATCCTCATTGATTTTTAAATAAACATGACAAAATCATTACCCATGCTAATTACTTCAGACCTAGTATTAAAAAAAATTATAATGATGTGAGGATAACAGGAGTTCAGTTACCATAACTTGAATAGGCACTACCATACCTCATACTGCATGGCCTGAGGATTCCTTACTTAACGTGCAAATGATTTTTTTCATTTTTTGATCTTAGGTATACAGAATAAATACCACATAAAGTATATCAAAGTATTGAGGGAATAATTTAATCTGAATTCTGGATTTGGAAGGGTACGAGTCTATCGGTAAAACGACCGTCAACTCAATTTTCATTTAACGATTCAAATTATTTTATTATTTATTTAAACACATATATATTGGTACAAAAGGGCACCAGGTACATATGCGCCACACAAAATAATGAAAGTAGGAAGAGAAGGGATGAAATGTACAACCAGAAGATTTTCTTTCAGTTAAGGAAGCTAGAACCACTCTTTATGTAGAAAGTAAAAGAAGGTTACAGCAGGATCGCCACTGGCTTCTATTCTGAGCCATATCTGATAACGTCTCTAGCCACTGTGTTGCACCATCTCTCGGACCCCAGCCAGGGAGTCGTGAAGGACCAACAGAAGCTAGCCCTTTTCAGCTTTCTTTCATGCCACGACACCATGTCATGCACTGACCTCCTCTCCGCTTTTTCCAGCCAGTCCCAGGGTCGGCAAATAATGCACGACGTGGAAGTCTCTGGGACGACATTCGTAAAACATGTCCAAGCAACAGAAGTCGGGGTTTCAAGATGGTGACACCAATTGAATTATCGTCTCTGCGCCCGAACACACGATGCCGAACCTCTGCATTACTAACATGGTGTTGCCACTGTATGTCAGCAATCCTTCGGAGACAACGATGATCAGACACAGAGAGACGTCTAACATCCTCAACTCGGAGAGGCCAGGTTTCACAAGCATAGAGCAAAACTGCTCTCACCGACGCGTTGTAGATCCGACCTTTTACAGCCAGACTAGCATCACGAAGTCACTAAAGATGGCCCAGATTGGCATAAGCCGCTCTGGCTTTCATTATACGTGCATCAATCTCATCATTCACGCCCCCACCAGCACTTATGTAGCTACCTAGATACACGAAATTCTCAACTACTTCAATCTGCTCACCATCCAGGGTGAGTACAGGATGAGAATCCTGCCAGTCTTGTAGGAGTACTTTGCACTTGGAGGGTGCAAAGCACATGCCGTACCTGCGGACACTGATTGCCAACTGATTAAGTGCGGATTGCATGCCTTAGGCATTATCGCAGAGTAAGACAATATCATCCGCATACTCGAGGTCGAGAAGTCGTTCTCCAGGCAACATATCCACACCGCCATTACTTACATCCATCAGAGCTGTTTCCAGGATGTCATCGATAGCAAACTTGGAGAGAAATGGTGAGATTGTACAACCCTGTCTAACCCCACTGCTTAAATGGAACAAGGGAGAAAGGTGGTTGTATGCCCTCTCTCTGCCTGAGGTGTTCGTATGTTAATAAACTTCTCAGGTACACCCTTCTTCGACAGACAATCCCAGAGAACAGTCCTGTCCAACGAATCGAAGACAGCCCTGATATCACTAAAACACTACGAATGTTGGCCTGTGATAAATATGACGATGTTCTAACATTTCGCGGAGGGTGAAGATATGATCAATGCATCCTCGACCAGAACGAAAACCAGCCTGCTCCTCGCGAGTCAATCGTTCTCGGGTTTTAAACAACCTACGAAGAAAGATAGAAGCTAATAGTTTGGACGCAATCGAAAGTAGACTTATCCCCCGGTAGTTATTGTAGGAACAACGTGAACCCTTTTTAAAGATAAGGACGACTATCGACTCATTCCATGATGTTGGAACGCTCTCTAGCTCCCAAACCTTTGTAAACAACACAGTCAATTTTTTAGTCAGAAGGTCACCACCATCTTTAAAAAGAGGCGGAGGTAAGTCATCTAGGCCTGGTGATTTGTAGCGTTTCAGGAGTTGGAGTTCCTTGTGGACTTCTGCCTCATTTGGTGAATCAGTCATCACCGGCCATGGAGGGCAGGGCAATCTGGTCGATGTTGCCGGGACAGCAATAAGTGGATATAACAAACTCATCCACAACCACAACACAAAAATAAATTGACATTCATTTTAAGCAGTTGTATTTAAAGTGTACTGGGATAAAAAGAAGCAAAAATTGATTTATGCAGGTTAACAGTTGTGAAACATAAGTTGCCAACGGAAACGTTAGTGCAGGAGTCCGATGTATACTACAACAGCTTGACAGCAGTGTTTTGATTAGTTAATTTGTCAGGACTAACTAATGTCTACTGAGGAACCATTGTTGTGGCGTGCTTCCTTAATTGATCGCTTCGATAACCGTTATTATACCAATCTTAACGGTGTATAGAATCAGAAGGCAAAAGGAAGTGGCAACTACATTTTTATTAACAA